AGAAACAGTAGGACCCAGCCGATGTTTAGCAGGCCCTGAAGCCTCTTCTTATCCTCCAGGAAAGCCAAGGGAAGGGGAGGGAAAGTCTCTTACTTTCTGGGAGTGTGCGGATGGTAAGGATACCCTGAGGCCACAGAGGTAAAAAAGAGTCTTTGAAGGAACAGCTGGCCTCCAGGGTATCTTGGGTCAGTAGAGATCGCCCTGGAGGCAATGGGGGCCAGCTGCAAGAGTGATTCTGAGCTATGCTCCTGGACAGGTACCTTTGGTGGGGCTCCCTCCGTAAGACCCACTTAACAGACACAGGCCTCTACACCTGGGGGTTCTGAGTCACCCTGAAAGCAGTAGGCCTGCAAGCCTCCTCAGCAATCACCCTCCACTTTCCTCCAGAGCTGCTGAGCTGTGGAGATGGGAAGGATGGATCTTGTAGCTTCACTCTCATGAAATGGCGCATCAGTAAGTGCTACTTAAGAAAACACATGGTCTGCCCCTCAAAAAGGCCCCCCTCTGCTGCTGCCGCCACCAACACCTTTCTTTATTCCGCCCAAACCTCACCAAGGGGAATTCGAAACAACTGTGGTGATAAATCCGCCTGCAGATAATTGGCAAGAAAACAACACTTGTGCAGTATATAACGTTTTATGGTTGTTTCATGTACTTTATTATAATACTAATGAGCAGTTATATATCAGGAGCTAACTGCACGCCGGATTAGCTTGTTAGCATGATATGAAATGGCAGAGCAAACAGTCCAGGCCTCTCGCTCCCTGCATGCCTCCCCCACCCTTCCTCCCTACCCCTCAGTCCCATTTGCACTCAGTAATTAGTATGCAAATTAGGCCCCGGGACCACACAAGTTCTAGTATATTACAAGGGCTTTATTATGCTCTTGTGAGTACATGATGGAAACGGCCCATGACAGTGTTTATCTCACTAGCTCTGTCCTGCCTTCCCCTTTCTCTCTCTCCCATCTACCCCCTGTACACAGACACACACACCCTCCCTTGCATGGTCACGGCCTACAACCAGCCCTTCCCCGTATCAGACCTTCAAACTTGATAGGCGTCAAACAGGTCTTCATGCCTGGATTTGAACACGCACATTGATCATTCTGGAAGCCTGGTTCCATTTCCACTCACCATACTAAAAGAAAAGTTCCCCTTTTCTGTGTTTTTCTTCTTTTTTGTCTTATGCATGCTTGCACACATGTGTCCCATGCCTTGTGCATGGGTGTGTGCACTTGCACATGTGTACATGTGTGTGTGCGTGTGTGTGTACAATGGCTCTTCTGTGGAGATTAAAAGACAGATGTCAGCCCTCACTGTCCACCTTATTTGAGAAAGGGTCGATTGTTTGCTGCTGTGTGTGCCAGGCCAGCTGTCCGGTGAGCTTCCTGGTAATCCCCTGTCTCCACCTCTGATCTCCTCATAGTGATGAGATCACAGGTGTCAGCTACTCCATCTGACTTTATGTGGGTTCCTGGGATAAGAACACAGGTCCTCACACTTGTGTAGTGAATTTATATATAATCCCTTCCCATGAACTCTTCTCAAAGCATAACTCATCCAGCCTACACTTCTGGAATTTATAATTATTTTTTTCCACATGTAGAAACTGTTACTTTCTCTGTTGCATTCCACTTGTGTCCCAACTTTCAGAAGGAAGTTTTCACTCTGAATTCTGTATTCCATCTTGTTGTCAGTCCCCAACCTTGTCTCACTATAAATCTGTTACCCTGGTTGTTTATAGCTTTAAGTTGTTGGTAAAACTGCTGAGCAGGGCAAAGGACAAATCCCAGCATATGTCACTGGAGACCTTTTTTCAAACCCCGATCAATATTCCCTGGGTGCAGTCACCCAGCCCGGATGCATCTGCCTTGCTTCCCCCAGCCTCTCTTTCACCCTCTCCTTCTGTCTGCTTTGCCCTATAAATGCTCCTTGAACCAATGTCAGTCCACTTTCTACAACTGTGACAAAATACCCGAGTGGAATCAGTTTAAGGAATGAGAGGTTTATTTTGGCCCCACAGTTTCAAAGATTTCAGTAGGCCAACTGGCTCCATCCCTTTGGGTCTGAAGCAAAGTAGACTTTCACGGAGAGGGAGAACATGTAGTAGAAGAAGGCAGGGGGGGTGCTTAAATGTACACTCCCCGTGACCTACTTCCTAAAAGACCCCTACCTCTAAAAGCCTGTTCAGCTAGGAGCTGTCTTCATCTACTGATGAAGTTAATTAACACCCTGATCCAACCACCCCTCCATCCCATGCACATGAACCTCATTCACTGAGAATCAAGCCTTCAGCACATGAGTCTTTAGCTATAATAATCCCCTTTCCTTAAAAGGTCTCCCCTCAGCCCCCTACTTCTCCACTCTCCTTTCTCGTACTTGGTTTTTTTGGGGGGGGTGTTGGTTATGATTTTTTGAGACAGGGTTTCTCTGGTCACAGCTTTGGCTATTGTGGAACTTTCTTTGTAGACCAGGCTGGCCTTGAACTCACAGAGATTCGCTTGCCTCTGCCTCCCTCGTGCTGGGATTACAGGCGTGTGAGACCACCACCTGGCTTTTGTATTTGGTCTTTTATGAAGGGTGGGAAGATTCATCTGCACTTTCCCCATCTCTCACTGGGAGTGAGAGGGATGGTCGGGTTTCAGCCCTTACCACTCCAGTCAACTGTTTTCCCAGACACCAGTAGCCACTCTTGAATTGCCCAATCTTCTCTGTATGTTTATCTGGTTTTTTAATTTATCATAATTTAGCTTCACCTTCTGTAAAAGCTGGTTCTCAAGTCTTGCTGTGAACCCAAGGCCCACTCTCCTGCATCTTTGCAGACTGAGCCCTCCTAGCCAATCTCCTGAGGTGGCACTTACTTCTAACATCTGACCCTAAATTCCTTAGCCCTCTGCCCTTCTTTTTTTTTTAATTCATTAATTTGCATATTTGCATATTCAAAGTAAGCACCGAAGAGGATCAACCCACTGTGCCATATACCTTGTTAGTTGGTGAGGTACAAGAATGCTGTAGCAGGGTTCCCACCTTCTCTGAGCTCAAGTGGATAGTTACAATACAGTGTGCTGAACACACCAAGGCGGGGAGGGGTGTGGAGATCTCACAGGAGCTGACAGGAATGTGTGATCCAAGCTGGAGAGGGTTAGGTGATGCCACAGAAAAGTGGCCAGGCTGGCAGAAAGGATGAGTAGGATTTTACAAAACTCTCCCCCAGTCCCTGGACTCTGTTTGAATCTACAGTCTTATGCTGGTCATCTATTCTGACTACTACACTTCCAGAATTTTTCAAGAGCCATGTATGGTAGTGAACACTTTAATCAAAACACTTGAAAGGCAGAAGCAGGTAGATCTCTATGAGTTCAAGGAAAGCCTGGTCTACACAGTAAGACCCTGTCTTAGAATACATATATATACACGTATATATATGTATATATTATAATTTTTCAATCTGTCTGCCATCTTGATTCCTCTAACTGCACCACCCTGTTCTACTTACTCTGAACAAGCAGAAAAGTCTTTTAAAGCTCTTCTTTTTTTTTTTAAAAGATTCATTTATTTATTACATATACAGTGTTCTGCCTACATGCCAGAAGAGGACACCAGATTGAATTGTAGATGGTTGTGAGCCACCATGTGGTTGCTGGGAATTGAACTCAGGACCCCTAGAAGAGCAGTCAGTGCTCTTAACCTCTGAGCCATCTCTCCAGCCCCTTAAAGCTCTTCTTATTCTTTCAGGCTCTTACTTTGTTTTGCTGCTGTTATTGCTGAGATGGGATCCTGATACCAGCCCTCCATCTCCTAGTGCTGGGGTTAACCAAACCCAGTGAAATCCTATTCTTGTAAAGTTCTAGACAATTCCTTTGCCTCCTAGATGAACTCCCAACTCTCAAAGGGCATGCCCAGTTTGTCTTATCACATCTCTTGCCTTTCTATGGCCTGGTTGGGTGATCTTTCCCACTTGTCTAAGGGCTGCCCATTGGCCAAGAGATACTCTCCCACACCAGCCTCAGCTGAGCTTCAAACGGTGCCCTCTCTCATCATCCAAGATCAAAGCCTGTACCTGATGGCATCCCAAGGATGCCAGCCTTCCTCTTCTACCATTCATATCCCTCCCCCTGGCTGCAGCAAGGCCCAACAATATCCATAGACTGTGATGCCAAAGATGCTGATCAGAAAGGAAGACTAAGGCATGGGTACAGAATAATGGTCTTCATGAATACTTAGCATAAGGAAGAGAGGGGAAAAATCTGTGTAGCAGGCAGTTTTTGTAAAGCGTTGAACTGTACCACACATCACCCCCTGACAGGCCCTGATGTTAGCTCCTGGAATGGACCACAAGAGACTCATTAGAAAAAACAAATATTATCGCACGCTGAAATGATTTATGGAGAAAAATGAAAAATTTTGTGTGGTTGCGTTCCCTCTCACTCACTCCCCCTCGCCTCTGCCTTCTTCTGGGGAAGTTATTTATGACTTCAGACCCTTAACAAGAGAACAGCAAAGCTCCGAGCTGATCACTCCTGCAAACTGCCTACATTTGATTTTTATTAGTGACTTAAAGCTTCCTTTTTTTTCTTTATTGTCCTGGGTGAACCCAAATGCATTTTAATGCCTGCTATTCAGGCCAGACTAGAAACGCATACATGCCTCCCACACAAGCCAGCCACACTGGTGTCTTTCTCCAGGGCTGAAGGTGATGTCAGAGGAAGGAGCAAGACCAAACTGTTGGACATATCAGGTTAGGGACTAGGGCCACTGAGTGCATATCTCTCTTGCGTGGCGGCCTCCAGGTACAACAAACTGCCTTCTCCTTGAGACGAAGACTAAAGCAAGTAAGCTAAGGGAATAGTGATTAACATGTATCGCCATGTTTGTGATATGATAGGCATTACTTTGGGTGTCTCTCTTGGGTTCATTTAACCTTCCCAACAACTGGGAAGTGGGCTGCTATCCTTATGATCACTTCATGGAAGAGGAAACAACCTCAGAGGGACTTACCCAAAGCAGCACAGCTAGTGACCAGCGAGGTTCGAACCAAGGAGCATCCCACAGGTTCCTCTGTGTCGCCCATCATCTCCTTGGTGGATTATGATGTCTCTAGAATCTTACCTACTGAGAATTCCCTGGAAGATTCCTTAGAACCCTGCTTCCTAGCTTCACCTTTTAGCCGGGTCATTACTAGCTCTCATTGGGAACTGTTGCCCTCCAAGGCCTCCTTAGCAGGGACTTGGAATGGCCAGAAGGAGGAGGGCCTTGAGCTTTTCACACACCCAACAGTGATCTTGGCATTTCCAGGTAAGACAGGTATGTTCCCATTCTTGTCACCTTGCCACAGATGAATGGAACCCCCAGCATCCCTCTTCCCATGTTTCCTGTGTAAATTTATAAAATGTAATCCAGAGAAAGTCCCTTTGAAGTCCCTTGTGGAATTCAGTCCTTGCTTCCCTCACTGTGGCAATCAGAACTCCTTCAGCAGGAGGCCTGATCAGTTCTCTGTGTGTGTGTGTGTGTGTGTGTGTGTGTGTGTGTGTAGAGGTCAGAGCACGGCCTGTGGCTGTGCATTCTCTCCTTCCACCATGTAGGTTCCAGAAACCACATTCAGATCCTGAGCAGAATGGGCACCCTTGCCTGCCCCAGGTCATCCGCAAGGCCGCTCTATCATATCAGTTTTCCGTTCACTAGATGTTTCCACTGCAGTCTCCACCATCACCCAAACAGTTAACAAAGATGCACCAGAAATCTCTGTTCCCACTAGACTGGTAGACCAAGGTTGTGGCCTCCCTGAGGTTATCAGTGGAGGGTCACAGTCACCTCTGAGGCTTGCTAGTATCTCTGCTTGTTAAGATGTCTGTCCCAAACAGACAGTGTTAGGAGTAGAGCTGTCACCAGGATGTAAGGGACTACTGAAATGATGGCTTAGGAGTGATGACCTGGATCCACAGTCCCAAGTAGCCACACTCTTCACTGTTTGTCCTCACAAGAAGCTAAGGTTCCAAGAAGGATGGTGTTAATTAACAAAAGAGAGACAGGGCCCCAGATGAGAGGCACAGAGGCTACACCTCCATGTGGCCCATAACTCACTCTGACATCTCAACAGAGGAAGAGCTGCTGGGCGGGGGCTACCCAGTCGCCCCCCCCCCCATGTCCACCTTGTCTCTGGTCTACAAGAGTCCCTGTGCCTATCTGGGGGTGCATCACCATCAGCTTCTCCTGAACCCTTCCTTGGCACATTGGGTCTGGAAAGGGGAGCCAGATTGAGTTGGAGAAAGGAGCAGTCATTCCAGAGGGGGATGACTCTCCTCTGTGCCCCTAGCTGCCCTGGCCAGCCAGGCTGAGCCTCATTCCTGAGAGCTGGTCTCTCAGCAGGGTTGCTAGGCGCGGTGAGAGGGGTGCTTGCCACCGGCTGGCCCAGGCTCTGCCTGGAGACCACTGGGGAGGCTGGGAAGAAGGAATGGTATTATTTGGTTGGTCCCTCCGTCCCTCCCCCAGCCTCAGCACAGTGAGCTTTCCGGAGGGATGGTTATGAGCCAGCCCATCCCCAGGCCTTCCTCTTTGTGAGGAGACCTCCCCATCAGACCCCCCACCTTCGCTGGCTTCCCTCCTCCCCCTTCCCTCCGGTTCAGCAGAGCCAGAGTTAAGCCTGGGGTTAATGCCCAGTGACACCTGCAGGTTGCCTAGTGTTGTTGACATGGGGGTGGGGGGAGGGGAGGGGGTGATGGGGGAGATCGTTGGTGGCTTTATTATGGAGAACTCAGCAGGCCTGGGGCCTTCTATTGTCCAAGTGGCAAATAAATAAATAGGAGAAAGTAAGTCTTCCCCATGGCTTACCGACGGGAGGTTAACAGCTGGACATGACATGACAAATTGGGCATTTTTCTTTGGGGACTGATCCTTACAGCAGCTAGCGGGGAGAATGAGAGAGAAAAAGAGTGAGCGGGAGGGTGAAAGCGAGCTGGAGAGCACTGAACGGGCAAACATGGGAGCTGTGCGTGTGGACATGCGTGTGGGACTGGGGTGTTCAGAGAATACGGTGCTGTCACATTTTGGATCTAGGAAAAAAAAAAAAAAGCAAAGAAAGCATTTTGTGTGTCTGCCTCAGGACTAACGCCCAGAGCCCTGACAGCTGGGTATCTGGCTGCAGGGCAGGGCCTGGGGGGTTGGAGGGCATGCCCATGGGAATCTGTCTCCTTGGACTCCTCCCCTCCTGCCAAATGGAAAACCAAAAGGTGGACACTGGCCCTATGTTAAAGGACCTCCCCCCTCCAGGTGGGTGGCATTTATTAGCCAATGAACAATGTAGACGTGAAGCTGCGCCTCTTGCCATCACTGCCCGAACTGGTCCCAGCTGGGCAGCCAAGTCTCCAGCTGTCTCCATAGCTAAGATCAGGGAGCCACAGCCCTGGCTTACCTTGCTCTTCTCCCGAGAGTTCCCAGCAACAGATCTAGAGGACCAGAACAGCAACTGCCACCTCTGGTCAAGGCTCTTCCTGGAGACCCTCAGGGAGGCTGGAACCTGAGGAATGACCTGCCTCAGCCTGTAGCAAATTGTAGTGTGAAGAGGAGGTCTGAGAATCACTGGCCATCAGGCTGTGGAGGCACAAAGCTGAGCTCTGCAGTTAGCTGTGAGACTGCGTCCCGGTCTTCCTGAGCTTCCGTTAGGTGCAGTTGGGGGATAGATAGTGCTGGTATGTTCCACCTAGGCCACTGTGAGTTCTAAATGAGATAGCACACCACTGCTAAGTGCTGAGTCTGGCCCATGATAAATGCTTTACAAAAGCCTGCCTCTCCCTGCTCCCTGCTGCCCTATGCTTTAAGACTGACTAGACAAAGCTGTGGTGAGGGGGAAAGATAACCTGTCTATATTTATGGAAGTCACATCCCTGCAGTCTCCAGAGGTTGGGCCTCAGCCATCTCAGAGTCTGTATAGAAGCTGGCCTGAAAAGAGACCTCCTTCCAGGCTCCTTGTTGAGCAGTGGACAGCCGGAAGCCTTCCTTGCTGGCAGTGGTTCTGCCCTTGCTGTGGCATGGGAGAGCCTGCCCTGTTTTCCAAGGTCATTCAGAGGAAAGAGCCGGTTTCTGCCCTTTTAAGAACAGTGGTGGAGCTGGGTGGTGGTGGCGCACGCCTTTAATCCCAGCACTCGGGAGGCAGAGGCAGGCGGATCTCTGTGAGTTCGAGGCCAGGCTCTCGTAAATCCAAAAAAAAAAAAAAAAAAAAAAAGAACAGTGGTGGAATGTTCTGGAATGCATATTCTGCCTTTCCTTCTGGGACCATTAGAACCAGAAGAAAATGGAGATTAAGGGTGGGTTAATTCATTCCTCTGCTGAGCATGTGCCAAGTGTCAACAACACAGTTCCTGACCCTGGGAATAGAGCTGTACGAGGTGTGTGTGTGCGTGCATGCATGCGTGAGTGCGTGACCCATGCAGACACTGAGTATGGTGGTACACGCCTTTAATCCCAGCACTCAGGAGGCAGAGGCAGGTGGATCAGCCTCGTCTGCAAGTGAGTTCCAGGACAGCCAGAGATATGTGGTGAGACCTTGTCTCAAATCATGCAGAGGAAGAGGCAGAGACTAGGAGAGCTGGTCACACCAGAGGGATTCAAAAGAGAAGAGAAATCCAGGGAACCTAAAGATAAGAGCGATCTGTGAGCCTCCCCAAAATAGCATGCTGGGACATACTCATCCAAAGACCTTTCCATGTAGCCCCCTGCTTCATGGTGTGTCTTCCTCCACCAACGAAGGGGCGGTCTGAATCTTTCCCCACAGCTATTGCCAAAACAACCAAATCCCTGCTCTCCTCCTCAAACCTGGGCCCCTCCTAGGAGTCCCTATGCCAGAACTTCTACCTGGATAGTCAGCTGTACCTTGAGAGCAAGATGCACAAGAGCTTTCTTCTTCCAGGAAGTCCCTTCCCCCACCTCCTACCCTCCACCCCCGTTACTCACGCCCCTATATAATATTCCACGTTAGAGCTCATAAATGCTGCTGCGGGTCCCCAGCCTGATTGAATTTGGAAGCCATTGTTTACAGACGTCTGGCTGTACAGGGGGATTTATTGAATTTTCCATGAAATGTTGCTCCCCTAATGCTGTAAAAGGCAAGCAGCCCACATCAGAGGAGCCCTGCGTTACAGGATCATGTTACCCCGAGATGGAGTGCTTGCTTCATAGTGTTGATGCACCAAACTCTGGCTCTGGCCAGACAAGAGAGGCCTTGAGCATCACACCTGACCCTCTTCCTAGCGCCCCAAAGCCAGCCTCTTGCCCTCCTTTTGCCATTAGCTCATTTCCAGTCAGTCAGAAAGCCCTGGAGACTCCATTCCTAACATAGCCTCCAAGTGCATTCTCCTCTCCACCCCACCTGCTACAGCCCTAGTTACGTTCTGCTCAGCTGCAGTGGCAGTGTCTTCTCCCTGCAAGCCTTCCCTTGCCCGCCCTGAGCCCTGAATCATATCCCTCAGTGCAGATGGCACAGAGCAGGCTCTCAGTAAGGAAAAGGAGAGAAGGTAAAAGGAGCCAGGATGTTGATAAGCCTCGCAGGGTGACAGGGACCCTTCCTCCAAAGCTGCTGGCACGCTGGATCCCCGGATCCTCGAGCATACGAGACCCCAGGACCGAGGATGGCACCGTCCACAGCCCTGTAAAAAGTGGAAGTGTCATTGTGTGTAATGCACTGTGCAGCCAGACCAAGTTTTCCCTATATTAAAAAGCACATTCTTTAAACCCTCATCACTCGAGTTTCCATCCCTTCCCGCCTCCCTACGCAGAGCTTTATTTCTCTTTAACCGCCTCCACTTCTCACCAGTGCCTCATTTCTGCCACCACCCTTAGCTCTTTATTGAATCTGCTCTCTTGAAGGTCATTAATCCAAATCCCAAGTCCAGCTCGGTTCCCGCCCATCTTAGCACCTTCCAAATCTTTATCTGTTCCTGTGTCTCTCATGCCTTGACCCTGGCTCTTTGCCAGCGGCCCTCCCTTTTCATCCACCCACCCTAAATAAAAGGAGGTGTTGTTCTCCAGTGTTCCATCTCTGTTCCCTCCCCTAGCGAG